TGATCACAAATTACACAGTGCACAGTTACATTGGCATGCAGGGAAACTGGTGTGAAATGACCTCACCAGCAATATCTGATCCATGTTTAGAATTTAGTAAGAAAAAAGAAACAAGATAAAAAGAAACAACAAAAAAGAAACAAGATAGAAACTCACGTTTCTAAAGCTTTCACTTCTAAACCTATTTTTAAGTGAGAGATGGAGCATTTTAAAAGCTTTCACCGTTTGTACACACACAAAGCCCTTGGAATCTGATAATAATCCATGTCAGTTAAGTATTTTCAGCCTGAAAATCCAAGTTTGAAGTACTTGCACTTGAACAAAGCACTTCTCATTTCCATCACGTGTGGACACATCTGAGAGGTGGCGGCTCTGCAGCAGAAGGGCAAGTGGAACAGAATCTTTGACACTGGCTGGCTCACGTCAAGCTTTGTTTGTTTCCCAGCATTTAGGGAGAGTTTTTAAAAACTCTCTTTGCCTCTCCCTCATAGAAGGACCTGAGTGTTGTGCAGCAGTGGGATTGGGGAAGGGTCCTGCTGCCCAGGGACTGGTAGTGCCTTTTGTCCACAATGGAATCGGCTCCCAGGCTCCTTCCCCACCAGCCCAGCGCAGTAATTGAAGAGCTCAGAAGATGAATTGCACTAATACATGGTCAGGCTCTGATGATACATTAATGCAATATATCTCCACAGCTCTAGGGCTGTCCAGGAGCAGTGGGAGGGGCATTAGAGTGCCTTCAGTCCTATCACATCCTGCACATGTAGCAAATGCAAGAGGGAAAGGGAGAGGGAGAGGATGGAGAGGAGCCATCATGTAAATGTGTTCAAATCTAAATTCAGCCTAATTTCTGTGAGCACTACCACTGTTTTCCTCAGTGTTGGTGAAAAATCTGTTATTTTGCTCATGCTAAACAGTTCTTACAGGGTTTTGGGGGGTTTGTTGGGTTATATTGGAAATGTTTCTGTGTCATGATTCCCTGGAACCAGGACAGAATGAACAATGTGTGTCCTGGTGCTGGGATCTGCCTTCCACTCGACATGGGAAGATCTCTGTTTATTCAGCTAAATTCCCAGTTTCTGAGAATCTGTTCTTCCAAATGCATCCAGGCATCCAGTTCATCATCCTGTTTGGGAAAATAACTGAAAGGTGGACTGGGAACAATGGAGATATAAGTGTGAGAAAAGAAGCAAGAGAGCAGGGAAGAACTGGAAAATATGGAACTGAAAGTAACCAGGGATCACAGAATCCCAGACTGGTTTGGGTTGGAAGGGACCCTACAGCCCATCTTGTTCCACCCCCTGCCATGGGCAGGGACACCTTCCACTATCCCAGGTTGCTCTAAGCCCCATACAACACGGCCACAGACACTTCCAGGGATAGGGCAGATACAGCTTCTCTGGGCAACCTGTGCCAGGGCCTCACCACACTCACAACCAAGAATTCCTTCCCAGTATCCCCTCTAAGTCTCCCCTCCTTCAGCCTAAAGCTGTTCCCCTTGTCCTTTCACTGCACTCTCTAAGTATCCCAATCCCTCTGTGGCTGGGGAACCTCTCCTTTGGAAACTTTTGTCAAAAACAAAGTGGAAAAGAATTTTGACATAATAGCCCCTGAATTATGGAATGCAGAAGCATTTTATCAAAAGTCTTCTGAATGTCTTTTGCTGGTTTTGCTGCTGACAGAGCTTTGCCAAACCCTCAGTGTAACCCCCACACACATATTGGACATACAAGTGCTAAAGCTGGAGTTGTGTCAGACCTGAATTCTTTAACATTCTGGTTTCATTCTTAAACTATCGATGATGCACTTTGCTCTGAAATGTCAGAACAAAATAAGTAATACCTGCAATTTATTCGGGTGACATTTCAACAATACAGATTTCCAGATTACAAACTGCAGCCTGAGCGTTCCGCTGAGTGTGGAGATTTGCTGCATTTACATAATGGGGCCGTGTAATGAATATTTATATAATGAAAGCATTTACATAATGACTGCAAGTTAAACATGCACAATAAAGATTCCAGGCCAATGATTTACAGACTGAGCTTAAAAATCACCTCAAAATGTATTTTATTTTTATTCCTACGAAAGGTTCAATTTATCTCATGTTCAAAAAAATTGAATCCGACCTCCTGCAAGTCAAGGCTGCGTTGATGTAAATCATGATCATACCCTGGAATTAGTCTACATTGAGTCATTTGTATTCAGAGATTTCAGTTCCTTATCTTTTAGCAGCAGCTTTGACAAACAATTTGAGAATATTCTAAATATGCTTGGTTAATATAATTTAGTGCTGGATTCGAGATACAACGCTTCCCTGCGAGCCTCATTAGTGCCACTGGGAATTACAGGGGAAAACTGGGAGAAATTAGAAAGTGCAGATGAAGCTGATGTTTAGAGAGAGGCGAGGTGCTGCAGACAGAATATAAACCATTACAGAGACCTGGTGTTTGCAACTCTCTTGCATTTTCTTTTCTAGTAAATCCAGGTTTTATATTTGCCAGGCTGATGTTCCCTGAGCTGTGAGAGCCATTTGTAACTGTCTGCACACAGAACACGCACCTGAGCATAGGAGTGTTACTGGAATGGAAAAAGTCTTCTTTATTTGTTGCACTAGCAGAACATGTGCTGGAAATTGTACCTTTGCTTCCATCATGTTTTACAAGATTTTTGAGCAAGAAGTTATTTGGATCCTGTGTTCGTTCTCCCATTCCAGACCAAGCTGTGTCCGTTAATCAAGCAGGGGACACCCAAGGCACGTCCCAAGGCACAGAATCCCAGAATCCCAGAGGTTGGAAAAGAGCTCCAAGGCCATCAAGTCCAACATGTGACCAATTCCCACTTTGTCATCCAGAGCAGAGCACTGAGTGCCATGTCCCAGTGCTCCCCCTTGGTGCCCACCACTTGGAAAAGGAGGGTTTGTGGGGATGCAGGCCTGTGACATGGCATCTGCAATAAATTTGCCAGACCTCAGCACTGAGGCTCGTCAGGGCACCTCTGCCTGGCCTGTCTTGCCATGCCATGTCAGCCCAGGAACTCTCCCACCCCTCAGAGACATCCCTGTCTAGTCTGTGGTAATTTTGCCTCTGTTTTGTCTCCCATGGGCACTATAAACTAAAAGAGGAGCGATTTAGATTAGAGATTGGGAATAATTTCTTGGCTGTGAGGGTGGTGAGGCCCTGGCATAGGTTGCCCAGAGAAGCTGTGGCTGCCCCATCCCTGGAAGTGTCCAAGGCCAGGTTGGATGGGGCTTGGAGCAACCTGGGATAGTGGAAGGTGTTCCTGCCTGTGGCAGGGGTGGGATTGGATGAGCTTTAAGGTCCTTTCAACCCAAATCAGTCTGAGATTCTGGGATTCTATTCATATCCACTTCCAAGAAAGGGAGAGAAGGTAAAGTGAAGCAAGAATTTGACACCTAAAAGGGAAACCAAAGAGAAGCTATACCAGCTTGCCCTTGGACCTTAAGCAGTGGGAACAGCTCCTATGGAAACATCTCCTGTGTACCCACAATTTGCTCTGCTGGGTACTTGGCAGGAACACTCTGAGCACCCCTACTGTCTCTTCTCATTCCACAAGATCTTCCAAGAATGTCTGCCTCAAATTCAATTTTCAGTTTTCACTGTGGTAATGGATGAGCACACCTTTCATCATTCCCAGTCCTTTGGTTAAGATACAGAGCCAGGGGCTCACTGGAATCCCTTCTGATTATCTGCATTAATTTTTATGGAGTCACTGAGGTTCAAAAACCCTGTCAGCTCATTGAGTCCAACCTTTGCCCCAGCATTGCCAAGGCCACCACTCACCCATGTCCCCAGGTACCACATCTTCATTTTGCCTGAATTCAAGATGAGGAAACTCTGCCTATTGCTCATCCCCTTCTGCAGCCCGAGTGCACTAATTCTCCTTTTCTGCTTTATCCCTCTCCAGGAACATTATAAGAGCTCCTTTCTGCAGCCACTCAATGCTTTAAGCTATTACTCTAAAGTATCACCACAGTTTCTAATAAAATTTTATTTGACATTTAGTTAAAATCCATTTTCTGCTACAACTGAATTTTTCCTCGGGTCCCTTGATGGACACTTCAAGCCAAATTCACTGTCATTGTCTTAAAGGTCAAAAGTGAGGGTTTTTTTCCCAGATCTTGCTTTGTAAAGCAAACTGTTCCTCAGGATTATGAGAGGCTGTGACAGTCCATGAAAGCCTCCTTTCCTGCAATTACATGGATTTTATAAAAGTTGTGGGAGCAAAGAAAGCCTTTCATTGCAAAATCAATCATGACTGTAGAGTCCCTGCAAAAGAACCAGTGCAATGCCAGTCAAGCCAGCTGGGAGTAAGGAGCAGCTCCTCCCAGGAAGACCAAATCCATCCTAATTTCCAGAGACAGGAAAAAGTATAAATCTGATATTTCCATTTATACTTTTAATTCCTCATAACGTATTTTGTTTGAAATTATTCCTAAGTATCATTTGCTTCATTCATTAAAACCATTCTGATAAGGTGTGCTGCATCAAGGAGTAATGACTCAATGGTATAGAATCCTAGAATATCCTGAATTGGAAGGGACCCACGAGGATCACTGAGTCTAACTCCAGGCTCTGCACAGGACACCCCAAAAATCCCACCCTGCATCTGTAGTTACAGTAAAATAAATGACAGTAAATTAAATCTATTGCATGATGTGTTCATGTGTTTAACTTTCATGCCCATTTCTAGGGAGTCCTGTGTCTTCCTGATTATGTCCTTGCTTGATTTTTAATTGGAATTGTACGATCCATGGCTGCAGCCTGTTAAAACATACTTACTCATATTTAAGGTGCCCTTATGTCTTCATTTGTGTGTTAAAGTAGTATCCCAGTTTTCCCTGATCTCACCCAAAATCTGAAGAAGCTTATTTTCTAAAGGTCCCATTAGACATGCACTTTTTAAGGCAGAGATGCTGCCACTCATCCCATTTGTGACCCCCCAAAACACCAACCCTGCTAGGGTGGCAGCTCCACACTCACCAGACGGGGAGATGTGCCTCCAGGAGATGGAAGGCTCCGGCTTCCCTGTGGCCAGACACACCAGGGTCACGTTGCTGCCCTCGTTCACATTGATGTCACCGGAGATGCGGAATATCTTGGGAGACACTGGAATGAAACAAGGAGAAAGGGGTCATGGAAAGCTGCTCACTCTGTACAATCCCAGCAGAGCACGGAGAACTGGGAGACCTGGGAGAGCTGGGATACCTGGATTTGCTGGGAGAGCTGGGACAGGTGGATTGCCTTTGGGATAAAATTACAGGGAGGTGTTGAAATGCAACTGTGCAAACTCTCAGTGAGGTGTGAGCACAACTATTTCCATCAGATTTGCAGAGCTCAGCCCTGGATCCCAAATGCTACAACTGAGAAAACAGCACTTTCCTCTGTTTTGTGCAAAGCAGGGGTTGCTCTCGATTTCCCAGGAAAGATGGATGCTCTTGTTGAAAGGCTGAGCTTGCTCATGACAGTGTGTAAAGAAGAGAAAATGAAATTGTTCTTGTACTTTTAAAAATTCAGATGCCTGTTACATCCTGCCCCTGTGTTCTTGGAGAGTTGTATCTTCTCCTGTAGAAGACTAAAATACATTTATTTCTGTTGCCTCATATTGCTCTGAGGCCCCCAGCAGCACCAGGGCTAGGAAAAAAAAATAAGCTGGATGTTTTTTCTTTCTTTAATTTCATCAGCAGAATTCTTCACTAACCTCATTTTCTGTACTATTTATACACCTGGGCATCAGAGAACAGAGTTCCACAGGGATGGAAAGTGATGGAAAGCATTAAATGGCCTGTCCTTAAGGGAATACTTTACTTGTAATGTTACAAAGGGAGAAAGGGAACTCGGGGTACCAGCAATGAAGGCAAGAATTCTGGCTTTCAGTGTGAATCTCTCTAAAGAAAAAACCCTCTCCGGACTTTCCTGAAGCCAGGAAGGTCTGATCCAGCAGAAATGTGCAGGCTTTTGTTTGGGTTTGAGGCTTATCCTCAGGAATTTTACAGTCTTTCTAAGCAAAGATTGGACCCATGACATGGTGGAAGGTGGAGAGTTTTCCAGACTTACAGAGTGCAGATTAAGTGATTTTCTCTTAAGCATATGCTTTGTTCTTTCCCTAATTGACTGGGTTCCTCTTTAATCTTGGTTTTACAGCAAGGAAATGAAATAAAACCTAGTAGTGTCATTACAATGACACTAAGCAGGTCACACCATTCATTCATTTCCAAAATAGAATTAGAAAAGAAATGAATAAGAGATGGACATCAATTAAAATAACACACAAATAAGCACAAACATGTAGTCCTGCTGTATAATGCAATTCTGTAAATTACATAAATGACACAATATGATCTGGTACTCATGGAGAATTGTTGATGTTATTATTATCAATTATTTCCCAGGAAGATCTTTTTTCCCATGATAGAAATTGGTTTCCACAGTATTTCTGGAACCGCACAGTGTGAGACAAATCAGGATTTCTGGTATATCAGTATGCTGCTAATTTTTCTGCTATTTACTGACTGATAGGGATCATTACATTCAGATCACTCAAATCTGTGGAATTTAGTAATTATGACTTAAATATATATGCATAAACACAATGGAATGTTAATATTTATTAAAAATTAAAAATGTTTATTTTGCATACATGTTTCTTCTAATACCTCTAAAGACTCTGATCTATGAGCAGATTTAGCATTTCATATCTGCTCTGCTGAGCCTCGAGTGCAGATTAAACCCATCACAGAGCTCCTCTACATTTCAACAACTACAGCCTTCCACCCATCTCACGTGGCAGCTTGAGAAGGTCAGAAAAAAATTAAATATAGCAGCGAATAAACATTTATTCAGTAAATGGATTAATGAGAGGCAGAAGAAATGAGATAATAAACAAGGTTGAAAGAGAAATTAAACTCCCAAGTAAATTTTGTGCAGGGGTCCAACATGAAAAGTACTTTGCAGTAACCTGACTTCTCTTCTTAATGCTTTTAAATGAGAACCTCTCCATTTCAGACAAGGTGTGTGACCAAAAGCCTGGGAAGCTGCTGTGGGAGGGAAGGCTGAGAGGTCATTCAGCCATAAGAAAAGAGGGTTTAAGAGACCTTGTCACCTTGTCATAGTATTGCAATGGTGGCTGAGGGGAATGTGGAGACTCCCTTCCTACAGGAGTCACATGGAAAAGGTGAGAGGTAACAAGAACACAAGAGGAAAACGTGTCACAGTAGAAACCATCAGCCACAGAATCATTAAGGTGGGAAAAGCCCTCCAGGATCATCACCTCCAATCTTTGACCAAATACCCCCATGCCCACTAAGTCACATAAGCCCCTTCCAACCTGACCTTGGACAATTCCAGGGATGGGGCATCCACAGCTTCTCTAACCTGTGCCAGGGCCTCAGCACCCCCCCAGTAACAACTACAGGGAGCTGAACATAAAGGCAACGTGGGCAGGGTGCCCTCAGTGAAAGGTGGTGGAGACACCACAGTTCTCCTCTCACCACACACAACGCCCACCCCTGGGTGCTCTGCTCTAAGGACTCATGACCATCTCCTGATCTCTGAAGACCTTCTCCAGATTGTCTTTGAATATATGATTTTTTTCCACGTATACACAGGTTTTGTAGTATTTTCTGTACATCTGCCTTTTCAAATTTCAAAACCAAATCTCATTTAAATACATCTAAATATAGCTGTGAAAATGCAAAATATGTTGTTGGCGGGGCTTTTTTGAGATGTTTATCAGAGCTGTGACTCATCAGGTCTCGACCTGGGCTAACAATCTCCAGCAATTCATCCCACAAGCAGATGGAACAGGTCCCTGCTCAGTCCCTACTCTCTCCTGGGCGTGGCAGTGATGGCGGCATGGGACAGACATGCTGATACAAGAAATGGTTTCTCTGAGGTGGCCAAGGTAGTCAGGGCCAGTGGTACAGCCCTAAAAGTCTTCTCACCCCCTGGCAATGGACAGCCTGCCCACAGCACACAGGGAAGCTGCATTTCCCAGGGCGAGATCATCACCTGCATCTTGACCCCACCTTGCTGTAATGGCACATTAGGGACCTTCATGGCCTGAGCCCTCTGCTGCAAAGACTGAAAAAATCAGGTGAAACATTGATTTCTCTCTGCAGACACAATAATGCATCATTTTGCTTTTCTAACATGCAGATTGATTTCACTAACTTGTGGAATATCTTCAAATCACTGACATGACACAGGAAATAGAATCCTATTCTTCTTTTTATGGTTTGGACATAATGATTAGTTTTTATGACAAATACATAGAAAAATTAGAATGTGCTTATGAGGGTTATTAAAAGCAGGTCTGAACTCCATTTGCCACTAACTGAGAATCTCTATGACTCCTCAGTTTGCAATCACCACCCCCCCCCAGCCTCTGGGAAACCTTCTTATTACAAATGAGCCTGTTTTCCCGAAGTTTTCATGAATTTTAGTGCTGCACTGGCATGAAGATTTCTTGTAAGACACCCATAAATTCCAGTTCTTTCCTTCTCCTATTCTTCACATTTTAGTCAGGACGACGAAACAACTTGTGGCTGAATAACCAGACACAGCCAGAACACTCAAATCATAGAATTACGGAATCGTTAAGGTTGGAAAAGACCTCTAAGATCATCAACTCCAACCATCAATATGGGGGGGGAAAAAGAGAGAAAAACAGGACAGTTAACCAAACGAAAGATTTAAAGAAAAGAACCAACCCAAGCCAGGTTGAAATGTGGTTATTAAGAATAATTATTATGCCTGAATCATTTGGGAATGAGAAGAGGAGGAAGCATTGACAACTACAGGGTCTGCAAGGGGCCACAGGACCATCTGCAGAGCTCATCAAGAACCATCTCCAAGCCCCACCGAGGTGTGAACACTGCCAAACACAGCACCCGAGGTATGTTCATCCCCAAAAACAGATGTCACTTATTTCCAGGAGATTTCACTGGCTGCTGTCCCACACAGCAGTGAAAGCTGCTAATCCAGGCCCCCACTAATGAGCCAGGGAGGTGTGTCTGCGTGGGCAGCTCCACCACCTGCTCCTGACCCCAGCCCAGCTGCAGATCCAGTCCTAGTCTTGCTTCTATGTGGTTTGGGAGAAGATTCCACCCAGCCAGTGGCTTTATGTAGGGCATGCCAAATCTTGCTGACCCCAAATTAAAAATGGTAGGATTGCAGACCCCCCCCCAAGGAGAATTGCCATCTGCAGGGATTGCCATCAGTGCAGAGGTTAGTGACACAAAGTCACAGTGCAGAAAGCAAATTCATAAGTTTTCATAAATCAGCTCCTTTGAATGCTCTCAGAAACAAGGAACTGTTTGAAAACAGTATCAATTCTGTCAGGATTTTAAAATTATTTATATCATAGAATCAGGGAATAGTTTGTGTTGGAATGGACACCAAAGCTCATCCAGCCTCACCCCTGCCATGGGCAGGGACACCTTCCATTAGCCCAGGCTGTTCCAAGCCCTGTCCAACCTGGCCTTGGACACTTCCAGAGCTGGGGCAGCCACAGCTTCTCTGGGCAACCTGTGCCAGGGCCTCACCACCCTCACAGGACAATTCCTTCCCAATATTCCATCTAACCTTGCCCTCTGGCAGTGGGAAGCCATTCCTCCTTGTCCTGTTACTCCAGGCCCTCATAAAATAAATCCTCCACCTCCTTAGCAAAGATGTGCAGTGTTTTCTTCCTCAGCCCTGTAAGCAATATGAATCCCCTAAACACTGCATGCCATGACTAAAATCCCTTATTTTAAAATAAACCAACCCTTAACATAACCTAAAATAATTTCTAACAAAATCATTAGTTGAACATATCACACCATTGATCATAAAAAAGATAATTGTGCTTTTTAGTGCAGTAAGAACATTTATCAACTTTTGTATTTAAAAAATGCTTAATTTTTATACTTTTTATAGTATTATTTTGTTTCATAACTGAACATTTACTGAGTTGTAAAATACCCTCAAATCACACATGATTTTTAGAGTATAGTTAATACAGGTTTTAAATCAGGGGAGCAAATAAAATAAAGCAGAACCACTAGCCTGTGCAAGTGTGGCACAAATCTTCATTTATGTGACAATCAGTCTCCAACTGGGAAAACCAA